ACTGAGAAGTGGGCTCAGGCCATTGCTGGCATCCCCCTGAGGTCTGTAGGATCTCAGAGGTTTATTTGCAAGGAGTTTCCACTAAGCTCCCTTCACACACATCATCCTGAGTACACACACACACATTATCCTGAACACACACATCATCCTGAGCACACACATCATCCTGAACACACACATCATCCTGAACACACACACATACTTGTCTATGCACCTTGAGGGTGGCAGGAAGTCCAGACATTGCTCCTGACCCCCTTAGCTCCAGGTCCAGGACACAGCCCTATCAATTCGTAGCACAGAGAGCACCAAAGGCTGAAAGCGTCCTCGTGGAGGGCAGGGCTGTGGGGAAGAGGCTAAGCCACCAGGGGCTCTCGGGGGCTGGAGCCTGGCCCTGAGGTGGACACACCTCAGGATGAAGGCAAGGGTGACTGTCCTGGGGACTCCTGCCGGGCAGGCTGGGATTTGGTGGTACTGAGAGTGTCCTCTGCACACTCTGGGGGCGACCGTCTCAGGGACAGTGGTCATGTGGCGATAACCCTCATTTGAGCCAGTTGGGCATTCTCTACGGGTCCCCATGCCCCCAAGCCCCAGGAATGGACTGGAGCCCTGGGTGCTGGCCATGATCACTGCAGAAAGGAAGGTGAAGAGGAGGCAGGGGTCAGAATAATCCTTTTTCCTGGTCCAGGGCTCAGCTCACGCACCAGGCCTTGTCCTGGGCCCTGAGAGTATACTGCTGCCCTTACCAAGACCAAGCCCTCCCCAGCAGCGGCCCCAGACCCAAGATGCCAGAGAGCTTCTGGTGTGGAGAATCGTGTAGAGACCACTGGGCCCAAGGTCCCCTTCTTACAGTGGGGAGACCAAAGAGACTGGTCCAAAGCCAGCTAGGGCCCAATATCCCAGAACGCCCATCCCCAGCCCCTGCCAGCCCTCTTTTTTCATTCTCCTACTCCTGAGTGGTAATGGGAGATGGGGCCCACATTGTCATGGAGTTTGGAAGGTATTTTAGGGTTCGGCAGCTGTCATGACAGAAGCCATAAGCTGAGGGTCGTAAACAGCAGACATTTATTTCTCACAGCTCTGAAGGCTGGATCAAGGAGCCAGCACAGCTGGTTTCTCCAGAGGCCTCTCTCCTCAACTTCTAGACGGCAGCCTTCCTCCAGACCCTCACACGGCCTCCCCTCTGTGCACAGACAGCGGGGATCCCTGGTGCCTCTTCCTCCTCCAGTAAGAACACTGGTCCTACAGGATTAGGATTAGGGCCCCAACCTTATGGGATCATTCAGTCTTATTACCTCCTTGAAGGCCTTGTCTCCAAATATAGTCACATGGGGATATAGCTTCCACCTGTGAATTTGGAGGATGCCATTCCATTCGTAACAGAATCAAATGCTAGAGTGGAACTACTCTACTTAAAAGCTCCAGCGTATCCAGGCCGCAGCACTTAACGAGGTAGGAAGAGCCGGAGAAGGCCTGGCTGGCCCTGGGAGACACGTCCATCTCACTGCTGGTTCATAAACACGTGGGCACCCAGGAAACTGGAGCGTGGCCTGTGTGATGTGGGTACCCACCACCACAATGGGGCTGGTTCATAAACACGTGGGCACCCGGGAAGCTGGAGTATGGCCTGTGTGACGTGGGCGCCCACCACCACGATGGGGCCGGTTCATAAACACATGGGCACCTGGGAAACTGGAGCATGGCCTGTGTGACGTGGGCGCCCACCACCACGATGGGGTTGGTTCATAAACACATGGGCACCCGGAAAGTTGGAGAGTGGCCTGTGTGACGTGGGTGCCCACCACCACAAGGACCGGTTCATAAACACGTGGGCACCCGGGAAGCTGGAGCATGGCCTGTGTGACATGGGCACCCACCACCATGCTGGGGCTGGTTCATAAACTTGTGGGCACCCGGGAAGCTGGAGTGTGGCCTGTGTGATGTGGGCGCCCACCACCATGATGAGACTGGTTCATAAACACATGGGCACCCGGGAAGCTGGAGCGTGGCCTGTGTGACTTGGGCGCCCACCACCATGATGAGACTGGTTCATAAACACGTGGGCACCCGGGAAGCTGGAGCGTGGCCTGTGTGACTTGGGTGCCCACCACCACGAGGACTGGTTCATAAACACGTGGGCACCTGGGAAGCTGGAGCATGGCCTGTGTGACGTGGGCGCCCACCACCATGATGAGACTGGTTCATAAGACACGTGGGCCAACCTGGGAAGCTGAGCCATGGCCTGTGTGACGTGGGCGCCCACCACCATGATGAGACTGGTTCATAAACACGTGGGCACCTGGGAAGCTGGAGCATGGCCTGTGTGACGTGGGTGCCCACCACCACGAGGACCGGTTCATAACACGTAGGCACCTGGGAAGCTGGAGCATGGCCTGTGTGACATGGGCACCCACCACCACAATAGGGCTGGTTGTGTCACCATCAGGCGAGGAAGCCATCACGCCCTGCACTGCTGAGGGGGAAGGAAGGAGGAAGAAAATGAGAAAATGACAGTGACGCCACTGCTCCCACGTGAGTCACCTCATTGGACCCTCACGGTGATCCATAGTGAGCCCTCATTGGCCAATTTTTAAAGAAAGTGTCATTGGTTTGCTTCAAGTCATGCTGACTTCCTTGGGGTGAAGTCAATTTGCACCCAGGGCCCTCAGACTCCAGGTCCCGTGCTCCTTCCACCCCCTAACCCTTGCCACACCCACACACAGCCAGCTGTGCAGAGGAGGGGCAGGCTCTTTCCGGAGCTGGCTGGGCAGCGAGAGGTCCCTGGCTGCCGATGCTGGCTGTTCCCGCAGTTGATATTTGAGCCCTGGACATGGTTATTTTTTATCCATTAAGTAATTCCGGTGGAGGCCAGAAAGAAATTGAGACCCACCTCAGCCAGGGCCAGCAAGGCTGCCGCGATAAAAGGTCACACTGAGGGTGACTGTCCGGTCTCCTGTTGTTCCATCCCAGCTTCTGAATGAAAGCAGGACTCCAGGAAACTCACAGGTGTCCACCCACAGCACCCGGCCACCACCCAGCCCTTGGGGCAGCTCCCTGCTGAGAAACGGAAGCAGGGAGACTGACCGCCTGGGTTCAGACCCCAGATGGCCTCTCCCCAGAGTGTGGGTTCCTCCCCCAGCTCTTCTCCTGTCTGCAAAGTGGAATCTCCCTTACAAGAGTTCAGGTGAGCTCATGGCTGTGTGAGGAACCCAAAGTGTGATTGGCGCACAGCAGGTGCGCAATAAATGTGGCTCCCAGTCTGTTGCCTGCCACAGGCTCAAGGGCTCTGTGGAACAATGCCTGGTACTCAGAAATGCCCCCACATGGCCCCCAGCCCTGGGGGCAAAATACTTCGTGAATCCCTCTGGTTTCTGTGCTTGATTTCCCCCAAGCCTTAAAACACTGGAGTATCAGCCTCATAGGGTGGGGCTGTGTCTTGTTACTGCATCCCCTCACCTAGAGCCACATCTGATTCAGAGGAGGTAACAATGGCTAATGGATGGATGGATGGATGGATGGATGGCAGATAAAGGATGGATGGAGGATGGATGGATGGATGGATGGATGGATGGATGGATGGATGGATGACGGTGGATGAAGGATAGATGGTGGATGGATGGATGGTGGATGATAGATGGATGGTGGATGAAGGATGAATGGTGGATGGATAGTGAATGGTGGATGAATGGTGGATGAATGGTGGATGGATGGATGGATTGATGGATGGCAGATGGTGGATGGATGAGAATGATGAATGGTGGATGGATGGTTGGATGGATGAGAATGGAGGATGAATGGTGGATGGATGGTGGATGGATGAATGAATGGATGGATGGATGGATGGTGGATGGTGGATAGTGGATGGATGAGAATGGAGGATGAATGGTGGATGGATGGTGGATAGATGGATGGATGGATTCATGGATGCATGGATGGATGGATGGTGGATGGATGGTCGATGATGGATGGATGGATGGATGGATGGATGGATGGATGGATGGAGGATGGATGGTGGATGGATGGAGGATGGATGGTGGATGGATGGGGATAGATGGATGGATGAGAATGGAGGATGGATGGTAGATGGATGCATGGATGCATGGATGGATGGATGGACAGATGAGAATGGAGGATGAATGGTGGATGGATGATGGAGGGCGGATAGATGGATGAATGGATGGATGGTGGATGGAGGATGAATGGTGGATGGATGGATGGATGGATGGTAGATGGATGCATGATTGGATGGTTGGATGGATGACAATGAAGGATGAATGGTGGATGGATGCTTGATGGTGGATGGATGGATGGATGGTGGATGGATAGATGGATGAAGGAATGATGGATGGATGGATGGATGGATGGATGGATGGATGGATGGATGGATGATGGATGGTGGATGGATAGATGGATGAGAATGGAGGATGAATGCTGGATGGATGGTGGATGGTGGATGCATATATAGATGGATGGATGGATGGATGGATGCATGAATGGATGGATGATGAATGGATGGATGGATCATAAATGGTGGAGGGATGGTGGATGGTAGATGGATGGATGGGTGGATGGATGGATGGTGGATGGATGGCAGATGGAGGATGGATGGTGAATGGATGGATGGATGCATGGATGGATGGATAGATGATGAATGGATGGATGGATGGTAAATGGTGGAGGGATGGTAGATGGTGGATGGATGGATGGTGAATGGATAGCAGATGGAGGATGGATGGTGGATAGATTGATGCATGGATGCATGGATGGATGGAAAATGGAGAATGAATGGTGGATGGATGGTGGATGGATGGATGGATGGATGGATGGATGGATGGATGGATAGATGATGAATGGATGGATGGATGGTAAATGGTAGAGGGATGGTAGATGGTGGGTGGATGGATGGATGGATGGATGGATGGATGGATGGATGGATGGGTGGGTGGATAGATGATGAATGGATGGATGGATGGTAAACGGTAGAGGGATGGTAGATGGTGGGTGGATGGATGGATGGATGGATGGATGGATGGATGGTGAATGGATGGATGGATGCATGGATGGATGGATGGATGATGAATGAATGGATGGATGGTAAATGGTGAGGTGCACTGCGGGGATGTGGGTGGTGTGTGGGATGGTGGATGGGATGGAGAGGATGGGACTGCATGGATTCGGTGCATGGATGGATTGGCGATGCCATGCGATGGATGGATGGATGATGAATGAATGATGGATGGGTAAATGGTGGATGCCTGGTTAGATTGGTGCAGATGCCGAATTGGATGATGGAATGGATGGCATGCATGGCTCATGGATGGATGGGTGGATGGTGAATGGATAGCGGATGGAGGATGGATGGTGGATGGATTGATGCATGGATGGATGGAAAATGGAGAATGAATGGTGGATGGATGGTGGATGGATGGATGGATGGATAGATGGATGGATGGATGGATGAAGGATAGAGGATAGATGGCGAATAGATGGATGGTAGATGGAGGATTGTAGATGGATGAATGGATGAGTAGGTGAATGGGCAGATGGTGGGTGGGTGAATAGATGAATGGGGAGATGGATGGATGGGAAGGTGGGTGGGTGAATGGATGAGTGGATGGGTGGGTGGGTGGATGGTGATGGGAGGATGGATGGATGGATCGATGGATGGATGGATGGGTGGATGAATGTGGACAAGCTGGCATAGCCCACATGGCCTCTAGCCCTTCAGCTGGACAGCTGGAGGAGAGATTTCTCAGCCTGGGCTCTTATCCTCTGTTTCTCTGAGGAGTCCCAGGCCCTTCTTTGCAGTTGGGAAAATCAATTCCCCAAATCCCCCCGCAACCCGCTTTCGGTATCTAAATTGAGCAGATTCTCCTTGAGGGAAAAGAGCCCCAGGTGAGCTGGACATTTCCCATCCCTCCACACTCTCCTAATGGACACCTCCCATCCCTCCACACTCTCCTAATGGCTCCAGGGACAGGGGAGAACTCCCTGCTGCTCCCTAGGCACCCACTGGGTGCTCCCTGTGCCACAGGAGTGGGCACACAGCACCCTGCAGGGGCTCTCCTGGGGACTCTCATCCTGTTTACACGGCAGAGCCTGTGGTCCATCCTGCAGCCACTGCCTACCTTGTCCATCCTGCAGCCACTGCCTACCTTGTCCATCCTGCAGCCACCACCTACCTTCTCGGCCACTGAGTTAGGATCTGGGGTCGCCCCAAGGCAGCCCTTACCCTCCCTGGGCCTTTGAAGCAGGATCTTTGACTTCACTGGTGGGCTCTGAGAAACATCTCCCCTTTCCTTCCACCCACTTCCACACCAGGAGGCTGCACCTGCCAGAGCCCTGTGACGTTCCAGGGATATTCAGTAGCCTTTGCATGAGGGAGAGGCACACGCAGAGACGCAGAGCCCCATGAAGCCTGGGCTATCAGCTAAGGGTCAGCTCAAAGCTTCCCAGGTCCCACATACCAAAGGGTCCTGGGCCCTCCACCCTGACGCAGGGGCTGAAGCCCCGCCCCAAGCTTGCCTGCACTCACAGAGCCAGAGTCAGAACCCTCCGTCCTGACCCAGGAGGGCCTCCCCGGCCTCACAGCCTTGGGGCCCAGCTCTGCAGAGGTGGCGTGGCCAGTGGGAGCTATAAACGGGATGTGTCTTTAGCCTTGCTGCCAATTCTTGAGAAGCAAGCCCCAGAGGCACTGAGGCCCTTCCAAGTTTCTCCTTTTTCTTTCTTCAAAATGCAGTCGCTGGCTCCCCATCAAGAGGCCTCCTCTGAGTTATGATTGTTTCTCCTTCTGCGAGCTCAGCCTTGAGTCTTGACCCCCAGAAATGGGCTCAGTGCTTCTTCCTGAGACCCCCGGAATCCAAGGGGCATGGCCCCCAGCCAGGGTCCTCAGGGTCCTGACTCCACCCAGCCACACACAGTCACCACTTCCAGCAGGGAGCCAGGCCCCGTGCCTTAGGGCAGCAGCTGCTTGTTTGGGGAGAGGTTGGGGTCAGCTGAGGTGGGCTGGGGGCACCCCAATCTCCAGCTGGCCTGGAGTCTCCAGGAGCCAAGCAAGTCCGGCAGTGGCTGTGGTTCTCCTGCTGCCCTGCATGCGCCATGGCCAGAGTGGCCAGTGCACCCCTGACGTGCTGCAGGGGCGAGGCAGGTCTGTGCCGGGGAGAGACAGCCTGGCCCACAAGCCAGCACTCTGTCACCCTGCGTGCCCTCGCCCTGTCCCCTTGGGTCCCTCTCCCTACTCAGCACGCACAGTGACCTTTCAGGTTCTCCAGTGGGTCCTTTTGGACTCAGAGTAAGACCCTTACCCCTCCCCCGCCTGCCAAACACTCTAACGTCTGGTCCCCACTCCCCCAACCGCTGCCTGGCATGCTGTCCTGGTCACTGCCCTAGACCCCATCCTCATCCTCCAGCTCTTGGCTCAAGAGGCCCCTGAGGCCCCACCCCACTCTCTACATCCCCCAGCCTACCCCTTCCCCACTGTGAGCCTGGGCCCACGTCAGGACTTGTTGAGGCCCCACCTCCCTCACGGCCACAGCGGCATCCCAGAGCCCAACAGAGCATGCAACCGGAGCCTGCAATCTGCCCAGAGGCAAAGTGCCTGGAGCATTTGCTGCAATCTGCTCAGGGATGCAGGAATGAGTGACCTGAGCATTTGGGAAGGAACAGAAAGGGAGGGAGGGGGGAGGAGGAAGGAGTGGGAAGGAAGAGGGAAGAGGAAAAGATGGAGAGGGGGAGAAGCGGGAGGGGAGGGAGGATGGAGAGATGGAGAAAAGAAGGAGGGAGAGAAGGAGGAGGGAAAGAAGAGGTAGGAGGGAGCAGGGAGAGAAGAGGGAGGAGGGAGAGAGGGAGGAGAAGGAAAGGAAGAAGGAGGGAGGAGGGAGTGGGAAGGTAGAGGAATGAGGAGGATGGAGAGGGAGGAGGGAGAGGGAGGGGGAGGAGGGAGAAATGGAGGGAGGGAGGACTACGTCAATAGAGCGGATCCTCTTGTCCCAGGGGAGTGAAGGGACACCCTGGCCAGGGGAACCGGAGTGGTTGGATTCCACAGGCAGAGGAGGAGGCCCCAGGATGACAAGAATGGCCCCAGCATAGGAGCAGAGCAGGGGCCCTGCAGGATGTGCCCAGGATGCCCGGCCTCCCATGTCCCTGCCTCGTGGGCCTGGATGTGCAGGGAGGTAAGTTAGAGCCTGGCTCAGCCCCAGCTGCAGAAGCTTCGTAAGAAAAATAAACCCCACGTTCCAGGGTTTCCCTGACCTCCCGGTCAACGGTGCCCTCCGATGTGAGCCCTGAGGGGGGCTCGGGGTAAGCCTCCACCTGCCTCTCCCCCTCCCAGGACCCTGCATGGCTCCCTGTGGCCCTTGGTGAGGCAGGGAGGGCTCCACGTGCAGCCCTGGGCCGTGCCAACTCTCTTGTCCTCCGCCCCTGGTGCCCTGGGCTCAGACGCCCTCTGTCTGGAGCACCCAGCCCGATTGCTCCGTTGGGCAGTTTCAGGTGGATCACGCCTTCCTCAAGACCTCCCAGTCCTACCCACCCCCAACCCTGCACCAGCCAAGGGCCCAGACTGCACTGGTCCAGCAGCGACAAATGCCTCACCTGGCGCCAACAGTGTGTGTGCCCGCGTGGCCGACATGGTTCCCTGGATGTCAGCAAGGGCCCCACATCACCCAGCGCAGGGCTGGGCACCGAGGAGCTGCCTCCCGAGGACTGGGTGCTGCCGCCGGAGAGCCCAGGCCCAGGCTCCTTCCCTGACCCTGGCGCCCCAGCCCATATGACCTGCTGGGCTTGTTTTTGTTGTTATTGTGTTTGTTGCCCTTTTGGGGTTTTTTTTGAGATAGGGCCTTGCTCAGTCACCCAAGCTGAAATGCAGTGGCAAGATCACGGCTCACTGCAGCCTTGACCTCCTGGGCCCCAGGGATTCTCCCACCTCAGCCTCCCAAGTAGCTGACACCCATAGTCCATGCCACCACAGCCAGCTGATTTTTTAATTTTTTTATTTTTTGTAGAGATGGGGAGTCTCACTATGTTGCTTGTCTCAAACTCCTGGTCCCATGTGATCCTTCTGCCTCAGCCTCTCAAAGCACTGGGATGACAGGCGTGAGCCGCTGCACCTTGCCTGACCTTGATTTCAGTGATGGTTTCACAGTGTACACTTAGGTCAAAATATATCAAATTATATTCTTTAAGTATGTGCAGCTTGTTGTTTGACAATTTCAATTCAATAAAGCTGTTTTTCAAAAAAAAAAAGTTAAAAAGAAGAAAGACATGTGATATTGAAATGAGACGGTAGTCATAGCAAAAAAAGGTTACCGTGGATTAATTTCCTACACCTTACACCAGAAATATATGTGAATTATCAGAGATCTAATGTGAATGGATCAGACATAGAAACATAAAATGACATGAAACCACAACGAGGGGTCCTCTGTGCTAGGGGACAGCTCCGTGTCTGGATTTCGTGGTTAAAAACGGCGCAGAACTGCACAGTCATCCCAGTGATGATTTCCCAGCTGTGACTCAGCCTCTAGTTCCCAAGACGCCACCACTGGGGGAGGAGGGACCTCCTGTGCCATTTTCACAACTTCCTGGGAATCTCTAACCATTTCCAAATAAAAAGCGTTTGAAATGGATGAGCAAAGCATGAAGGCCTAGAAGGAAACAAGAATGGACTTTGCTATATTCTCTATATTTAAAAAACACCTTTTGCTGGGCTCGGTGGCTCATGCTGGTAATCCCAGCACTTTGGGAGGTCGAGGCGGATGGATCACTTGAGGCCAGGAGTTTGAGGCCAGCCTGGCCAGCATAGAAAAACCCCGTCTCTACTAAAATTACAAAAATTAGCCGGGCATGGTGGCGGGTGCCGGTAATCCCAGCTACTCAGGAGGCTAAGGCACGAGAATCGCTTGAATCCAGGAGGCAGAGGCTGCAGTGAGCCGAGATTGTGCCATTGCACTCCAGCCTGGGCGACAGAGTGAAGCTCCGTCTCAAAATTAAGTAATTAATTAAATAAAATTAAAAACAACTTTTGCTTTTACAAAAAAGATAAGAAATTAAACAGATGAATGACAAAATGGGAAAACATTTTCAAGTCGTATCATGGCCAAACTTGGGTTTGGATTAATAGCTCTGATGTATTAGTAGTTTCTACAAATAAAGAAAAAGGCAAACATTATTTTTTTAAATAGCCCAAAGAAATGAATAACAGAAAAGGAAAATTCCAGTGTCCTTTAATTATATGAAAACATGCTCAAAAAAAATAGCAAGTAGAAGAATTTTAAACTGAAGCAATTTTATCCATGGAAGTGTGAATATTCATTTTTTATGTTAGTATTTTAATCAATTAGTAAATGTTTTGAGTATAGTTCAGGCAACCCAGCTAAGTGATCCTCTTTTCAACTATAAGTTTTATGAAATCTTAATGTAGGTAAAGTATTTCCGATGAGAATGTCGTGTACAAATTCAGATGTTCTGTAACTGTGAAATACACACCAAATTTTGAAAACTTTGTGTTAAAAAAGAATGACAGTATCTCATTACCAAATTTTTTATTGATTACATGTTGAAATGATACCATTTTGGCTATATTGGGTTTGGTAAATACATTACTAAAACTGATTTCACCTGTTTTTTTTTAACTTTTATTGTGGCTACTAGAAAATGTAAAATTATGCCTGTGACTCGGATTTTATTTCCATCAGACAGCACCAACCTGGACTTCCTCATTTTTCAGATGAGAAAACTATGGAAGGGGCTGAGCACGATGGCTCACACCTACAATCCCAGCACTTTGGGAGGCTGAGGCAGGCAGATCACTTGAGGTCAAGAGTTCAAGACCAGCCTGTCCAACATGGTGAAACCCCATCTCTACTAAAAATACAAAATTATCTGGGCATAGTGGTGCGGGCCTGTCATCCCAGCTACTTGGGAGGCTGAGGAAGGAGAATCGTTTGAACCCAGAAGGCAGAGGTTGTGTTGAGCTGAGATTGCCCCACTGCACTCCAGCCTGGGTGACAGAGTGAGAAAGGAGAGGAGAGCGAGCAGGACGAGACAGCGCAGAGGGAGGCGGAGGCGGCGAGGGGCAGGGGAGGGGATGATGAGGGGAGGGAGGGGAGGGAGGGGAAAGGAACGAAAGGAAGAAAGGAGGAGCCGAACGGAAGAACCGAACGGACAGAAGGCGCGCAAGAGCAGCGCTAGAACAGCAAGGCAAGAGGAAGGAAAGAACGGAAGGAGGACAGGAAGGAAAGAACAGGAAGAAGAAAGGACAGAAGGAAGGGAAGCCAAAGCGAGGAAGGAAGAAGAACGGAAGTAAAGGAAGACAGCGAACCACAGGAAGGGAAGGAGCGAAGGAAGGGAGGGGACAGGGAGGACAGAGGAGGGGGAAGGAAGCGCAGGACAGGCGGAGGAGCGAAAGCAAGGGAACGGCACAGGACAGGCAACGAGTGAGACGAGAGAGAGGAAGGAAGGAAAGAAAGGAAGAAGGAAGCGACAGAAGAAGGCAACGAAAGTCGAGGGAAACGGAAAGAAAGGACAGAAACCGCGACAGAAGGACACGGAAGACAGGAAGGAGCAAGGAAGCGAGGGAGGGAGGGAGGGAGGCAAGACGGAAGGAAGTGAAGCAACGGAAGCGAAGCGACGAAGGAGGGATGGACAGGGAGCGGAGGGAGCGCGAGGAAGGGGAGGGAGGTCGAGGAAGCGGAGGAACGGAAGCCGACGCCGCACCCACGCAGCCGCAGGAACCGCGAACCGCGAAGGCGAGCGCGGACGGGAGGCACCGGCACCGCGCGCCGCCGCGCCGACGGCAAGCGCAAGCGCAGAACCGCAAGACACGAAGCCGCCGCCCGACGCCGAACGGACAGCGGACGGACGAGCAAGCTCACCACGCAAGGACGAACGCACCACGCCCTCTCTCCGAGCCTGGCTGGAAGCTTTCTGTCACCCTCCCATTGTCTGTGTCCCCCAAACTGGCACACGGGGGACCAAGCAGCTGCTTCTGCACCTGCAGGCATCCACCCTTCTGAGAAGGAGCGTTCTCTGGCCACTCACTCACTCCCAGGTGCCCACAGGCCTCCTGTGCACTCCCCGGGGTCCCCCCCTCCTACTGTGAACTCCCGGGGTCCCCCTCCTACTGTGAACTCCCCGGGGTCCCCCCTCCTACTGTGAACTCCCCGGGGTCCCCCTCCGACTGTGAACTCCCGGGGTCCCCCCCTCCTACTGTGAACTCCCGGGGTCCCCCTCCTACTGTGAACTCCCCGGGGTCCCCCTCTGACTGTGAACTCCCGGGGTCCCCCTCCTACTGTGAACTCGCTGGGGTCCCCCCTCCTACTGTAAACTCCCCGGGTCCCCCCTCCTACTGTGAATTCCCGGGTCCCCCTCCTACTGTGAACTTCCGGGGTCCCCCTCCTACTGTGAACTCCCAGGGTCCCCCCTCCTACTGTGCGCTCCCCGGGGTCCCAGCCCTCTCACATTCTCCTTCCTTCCTTAACGAAGTTCTTTACTTTGTGTCCCATGAGCTCGCATTTCGGTTCCTGACATCGAAGCCTAGTCTCTGCTTTCCCGCGATTCCCAAAACGGGAGACAAACGTGGGGATTGAGAGATGGTTTTAGGAGATACCAGGACAGTTCGAGAGTGAGGAAGTTCCTATTCACAGAGAATGCAGCTGTTCGGTGCTCACCTGGCCCGTAACACTAGGAGCTGAGGGCCTTGCCTCCGGGAGCAGCAGCTGGAAGCTGGTACCAGCGCTTCATTTTGTCCCTGTGTGTTGCTCAAGTTAACCTCAATTCATGGCAGGAGATGCTGGGTTTTTTTATTGCCTTTCTCTTTAATTATTTAAGTTTTTTTAAGTGACCTAATTTTATATCGAAGGGAGAATGCAATTTTTAAAAAAAGGAGGAAAAAGTGAGTTAATTATTTTAAACACACGGAGTGAACAGCAAACAGCATCGTGGCAGGTCAGGCAGTGAAAGTCAGAAGGGCGCCGGGCAGTGGCCGAAATTTAGGAACCCGAATCAGGCCACACCCTCACACCACGGTGGGATAAACAGGCTCAGTCGGACACCGTGGCTCACGCCTGTAATCTCAGCCACTCGGGAGGCTGAGGCAGGAGGATCGCTTGAGCCCAGGAGTTCGAGGCTGCAATGAGCTGTGATCACACCACCGTACTTCAGCCTGGATGACAGAATGAGACGCTGTCTATAAAGAAATGTTAAAATTAGCTGGATGTGGTGGCGAGGACCTGTAGTCCCAGCTCTTCTGGAGGCTGAGGCAGGAGGATGGCTTGAGCCCAGGAGGTTGAGGCTGCAGTCAGGCTGCACTCCAGCCCGTTTGATAGAGTGAGATCCTGTCTATAAAAGAAAATTAAAAAGCAAATAAAATATAAAAGATAAAACAAAACCGAAGCCCCCCTCCCTTCCTTCTGAACCCTTGTTCTCCCTAAAGCAGCTCTGCCCGGGCTCTGTGGCCAGACTCTAGAACCCTCACGTAGTCCCTCCCTGGTCCCTGGCACCCTCCTGCTCTGAGACCCTGCTCTGCCCGCCCCCGTACCTGCGTGGAGCCCACAGGGTGGCCGCCCCCAGGCCCTCCCGCAGGGCCCAGCTGGGGAGCGGAGCCCACACAGCATGGCTGTGCCATCGGCC